GGAGCCTACGAGGCAGGAAGCTAGCCAGCCGGAAGACTGGCACTCCCCGCCCGTGGCTCCCTGTGCTCCGGAAGCCCTCCTTCCAGGGAACTCAAGAAAGATAAACTTGTGTCATCTGTAGGAAAAGGGATCTATCTTGAGGTCATAATGTTAAGTAGAACTGTTGGGGACCAGGCTATGTGACAGACTATAGGGGGCCTACTATGTGACTTAAGCCCCCTGAAGTCCTGAAGTCAGTGTGATCTTGCTTCAGGAAAAGGGAGATATACAGAAGGCTGCATGCCCCCTGGCTATGGGCAGAATGTTAATAACCTGGCACTCCTGAGCAGCTGCTGAGCACAGTTGTCAAAATATAGGCATTTGGGTTTAGAGAAAAGCTGGTTCCTTGTTACAAATTTAATTCTTACCAAGCATTTTCTATAGTTACTATTCCATGAAATGCATGCCACCCCTCTCCCTGAACTTCTTGCTAGCCAATAAAAGCAGACCACCCATGGAGTAACCAAGCCAGTACACTAGAAGCAAACTCCTCTTGGTTCCCCTTGGACTCTGAAATTTGTTTGTCTTTCTTTATTCCTTGTCATTCCTCCCTAACACACACAGGTAATCCAAGGGTCTGATCAGCCCTCAGTATAAAATAAATCAGACACACAAGCTTAAAAATCACATTGTTTCTCTTATATGAGAAACCCAGAATAAAAATTAAGGGCAAAACAAAAGATAGATAACAGGAAGCAGGGAGATAGATTGTTCTTAAAGGGGAAGGGGATCAAGACATGGAGGGAGGGGGAGGAAAGAAAGGGATAAGGGATGAAAAAAAAAGGAACTGGGACTTCTGGAAAGATGGCAGAGCAGTAAAGAGCAACTGTCAAATTCTCTGAGATTTGGAATTGAGACACTGGGAAATAACCTGAGGAAGAAAAGAATGGTGGATCCCTAGGACCCTGGAAGTATCTGAAAGGAAAACTGTAGCCCACCATGAAAGTGAAGAGACAGACAACAACATAGAAAAAGGAGGTGGCAAACTACACCTTTTCCCTGGCCTCTGGCTCATGGCATGAGAGGGGAAGATGGAATCTTCAGAGACACAATGAGGGGAGTGACTCCAGAGGTCTCCAGTGTGGTACAGCTGATGAATGTGTGTGCCTTGTCCCCTGGAGAGAGGACAAATGGTTTGGCCAAATGCAATTTTAGGGAGGAGCCAACTGAGCTCAATACTTGCAGGAGTTGTGGGTTTGCTTCATCTCAGGGGATCCAAGTTTCAAAATCTCATAGTGACTGGGTGAGAGACAACTATGGGAGATGTCCAAGGTCACAGAGCCAAGGTCAGGCTGACAAGAGACACCCAGAGTGTTGTAAGCTGAACAACTCAGGCTCTAACCCCACAACCAGAGGCCAGGATCAGTCTGAATGTCTTTGGAGTTGAAAGTACAAAAATCAACACCCTGCCCTAATCCTACTACAGGCTTGCTGGGATTATCCAGTACTCTACCCTACACCACTGCAGGTTTGCTAGGGTAATCCAGCATGGATCTGGGCTCTATCTGCCTCCTTTGTCTCAGGAACAGCAGAAACATGCCCAAAACTGAACATCACCACAAAACTGTAGACTTTAGATTACCACAGGCTTGAAATCACATAGAAATCTCTTTCTCCCCCTTTGCTTTTGGTATTTTTTTTTTCTTGATTGTTTTTGCTTTTTCACAAGTATAAATATTATTTTTAGTTTTTGGTTTTGTTCTTCATTTTTTTCCATTCTTTCTTTTTTGTCTTCTTCACCAGTTTCCTGAAGGTTGGGTAATCTTTCTTTATCCTTCAGTCTTATTTCTAACCTCTTTCTCTTATTATTCTATTTTTTCCTTTTAAATTTTTTAAAAATTTTTTCCCCTGAGGATACAATTTCTCTATTGAGAGGACATTTACTACATTTAATTTTCTGACTAATTTTAGATTTTGTTATAAAACTATAAATATTGTGCCTTTGCTTAAAAGTGGCAAATTAATAGTTGTCACAATTTGTCATTTTCTTGACTGTGCCTGATGCTAGGGTTATTACTGATTGTACTACTTTAGTCAAGGTGACATAATTGTGATCAGTTGTTCTTCCTTGTATGCCAATACTGAGATTGTCTAGGGAGTCATAAACAATAGCACTGTCCGGTATCAAAAGACACAGGATCTTGCAACAAACTCAAAAGCCAAAAGCCAGCTATGCCTAGAAAATATCTCTGAAAAGTAGTCACTTCCTGACAAGGTCTTGATCCTAGTAATAAAGCTACCTACCATAAGCAATTTACAAGCATCTGTGCAGAAAACAAATTTTAAAAATAGACAATGAGAAAACATAGAAGATGCAACCCCATACCTCATTAAATAACACCCTCCTGAACAACCAATGAGTCCCAGATGAAATTACAAAAGAAATTAGTCAGTTTCTACAATTAAACAATAACGCCAATACAACATACCAGAACTTATGAGAAAAATGAAAGCAGTCCCACAAGGGAAATTTATAATGGTGAATTCCCACATCAGACAAACATAGCAAGGGTCAGGGATATAGGCTCAGCAGCATGGTACCTGCCTGGCAAGTGTGAGGTCCTGAGTTCAATTCCTGGTTCAACAAA